CCAACTTTCCATCACTAGTAAATATAGTTCCCAGGTACTTGAACTTCTCCACCTGCTCCACTGCCTCTCCATTAATCTGAAGAGAGCAACGAACAGGAAAACGAGAAAGCACTAAGCTTTTCGTTTTAGATGCGTTCACACGCATGCCGGTCAAGGCGCACTTGGTAGGACAGGTCAGTTGCTCTGTTTTTTACTGTTGCAGAAATATATGATAAATAGTATTCGAATGCCGCTCATTTCACGTATTCTCGATATGATCGAGCTAAAACAACTCAATCATTCTGATAAGCCAAGAAGTCAGACATCAATAATCTGGGTACTCGGTCCTTGACCATGATACCCTTGATAATGACGACCTGAATTGCCACGACAAGCATCTCGAACAGTAAATGAGTATCATGAGCACACTACCGAACTTTGCGACCGACTACAACTACCGTTGATTTGGTAGCATTCTTATATAGTGACGACATGGCTCGCCACGTTACAGTGCTACTGTAGTCACGCCTTATGGTACTTTTTTATCCAACCTTGCCGAATCGCTTAGACAAAGCTTTCCGCGACTTTCTGTCCGTTATCACGCCGCTGAGTTTCTACTTATCTCGCATGGCACCTAAGCATTGCTTCCCTGTCAGCAACAGTTGTGCACGGCAAAGACTTGAGCCTAAACGAAAATTGAAACCGAGACATTAAGCATTGTTATCTGGTCATCTACCTATCAGCTGACCGAGAGCCATACCGCTTTGTAAAATGAACGCCTATCGAACCGCGCGTGCGCCATTCCGACCTCGAGTCCAAACGATAATCAGATTTCGGTCTGGAGAAGGAGCATTTCATCGACGAGGGTATCCTGAATTGGTGTGCTTTGCAATTCGTCGCACCGACAGCCCTTAGAGCAATTTGATCGATGCCACTTGCGCTTGCATTTTAGGTCATTATCATCACTGACCCGCAAGACTTGGCTTTGCTACCCAGCCTGCAGGCAAAACGGCACACTTTCTTAACTCCACATTTATTGTTAACTTTTTGATTTGACTTGGACAATTAAATATGGCATCACTGAGGTGGGCTGGCCTCCAGTTTCCGATCAACGCTGCTGAACTCCTGAGTGTACTGTCACCGAGCTGTAGATTCGATACCTAAATTAATGTTGAACATACACAATATTAATCTTAACATAAATTAATACATAAATTAATCTTAACCTACACACAGAGTTTGGTATTGAATCAGGTATGCAATCATAGCATAACTCATTTATTTCATCACACAATAAGGCACAAACATTCAAATCAATCATAAAAGCAGTTTTTCATAAGACGACAATTTTTCGCTTCTCTAAAGTTTCCTCAAGTTCCTCAATACTTAGGCATTGGTAGCGAATGTGTTACAGTTCATCAACAGAAGCGGCGACCTGATGGTCCGATATTTCCACGCAATCGACGAGCTGGGCCGCAAGAAGCTCAACATTATTTTCTCCAGGGCGTTCGCTCAACAGGCGATCCACCGATTCGCGTGGGAATATTTCGTACAGTATGCTAAAGTTGTCTTGACTTGCTTGAGGCTGCGACGGACATTTTCGATCAGCGGCTACTGTGTTTAGTATCAACGGTCCGGCGTCAGAACTTTCTCCGCCATTTTCATGATATCCTCTGGGAGCAGCGCAGCAAGCGTTGTCATCAGACTCATCGCTAACGTCGGTGTCATGACGATGATTTTCCGTAGGAGTTTGCTTGGTTACCTGTTCTACTTTCCTGTCAAGATGCTTGCTGTTGGCTTCATCCAACATGTATGGGAAATTGGAGCGCGATTTTCCGCCTTCGTACGTTCTAAAATTAAAAACAAGTATTTAAACACACTGTCGGAAGTGACGCGAACATGGTCAACCAATACTAGTAAATGAACGAATAGCGTGAATTTCAATACGAAATGCGACCTGCCGGAATCTGACCTACCTCATGGAGAGAACAAATAGGTAAAAAGACAATTGAAAATACGCCAGAGGCTTGCTGGTCATTCGAAAAGTGTAACAGGGTCAACAGACACAAACGCGGACTGACTCAAACTAGCATAACATGGTGACCCCCGTCACTGTGAACGCGCATCACTGAATAAAAAACTGACCATCAGGAACGGCTGTTGTTTATAGTGTCACTCCACATGGCGAAGCTCTAAACTCTCTTTATGCCGCTAACTTCCCAATAAAATTTATCCTTCCAGTACCTGAAAGTAACAAAACCAAGGCTGAACTACACGATTAACCATTCAGCGCAAATTCATGACAGTCCCACAGTACATTAAATAACAGACTTTTCGACTTCACGAACAAATCTCGTCTAATCAATCTCAGATAACAGTGATACGGGCGCAATTCATGTTCACGGCCTCAATGCAAGAAATAAAAAAGATACTATCCACACTATGACATCAGCCCGGAATCGCAACCCGTTCCGAAAGGAGGCAGACAGAGCGATGTCATTATAGCACGTCAGAAAAGGCTTCACATGAAGGAAATCGCTAGTGGGAGCTTACAGTCCGAAAATGGGATATATCCTCATACAGAGACAATGAACAACAGTTAGTTAATGAGATGCCAAAGCTCTGGATTCTGGAACCTATGCGGATGGAAGCTATTCTACTCAAATGTCGATATCACTACGGGCGCTCAGGACGTGTTCCGGTTGAACCCATTCTCGCAGATAGAATCACTGACTGGAAGTCTGTTAAGAGAAGGGTGGTAAGCCTCCAACTGAAGCTACAACAGGCTAAAACGTTGACTTTGGCACAGGTTAATGCAGCCAATTTGGAGGGAAAATATGATACCTTCTTTGAGAAAGTGCAGTGTGCTCCATCCGAAGTGCCGAATATAAAAACCCTCAACCTAATGGGCGATTTTAACGCGCATGTCAGAGTACACCCTGAAAACTGAAACGCCGTGATTCGAAAAAAAGGCCCTAGCGTCTTCAACAATAACGGCATGAAGTAGCAGTTTTGTGCTAACAACGGACTATCCATTATGAATACCTTTCTCATGCATCGAAGAGTGCATCAGTACACCTGGTACAGGCAAGCTACTGCACAGAAGTCGATGATCGATTTGATAATCGTATCGTCTGACCTAAGATGCTCAGTAATGGATGTTCG